CCCCCCCCCCCGGGCTCCCCCCCCCTTTGGGGGGCGCTGTGTGTGTGTGTGTGTGTGTGTGTGTGTGTGTGTGTGTGTGTGTGTGTGTGTGTCCTGCCCCGCTGTGCACAGCACAGGCCCCCGCCGCCGAGCCGGCAGGCAGAGCCCACGCGAGACCCTCGCACCACCCGCCGCTTCCCGGGGGCCCCCCCGCTCCTTGCCCCCAGGGTCCCCAAGGAGGCTCCGAGCTGCTGTCGGAGGTGACTGCTGTCTCGTTGGGACAAGCTCAAGGATTGTTTCGCTGCTCCCGACGCTGCACCCGCTGTGCACAGCACAGGCCCCCGCCGCCGAGCCGGCAGGCAGAGCCCACGCGAGACCCTCGCACCACCCGCCGCTTCCCGGGGGCCCCCCCGCTCCTTGCCCCCAGGGTCCCCAAGGAGGCTCCGAGCTGCTGTCGGAGGTGACTGCTGTCTCGTTGGGACAAGCTCAAGGATTGTTTCGCTGCTCCCGACGCTGCACCAGCAAGCGGGAAGGACACGGTGCTGGGGAAGGGTAATACCCGCCTCTTCGGCCATGCTCTCTTCTCCCAGCCGTCCCAGACCTGCTGGGAGCCGAGCCCTCGCTTCCGCACTTTGCAGCGCCTCCCGCCCCCCCGACATACCCAGGAGACAGGCCCCGGGTTAAAGCTACTGTCCCCCAAGGGCTTTCACGCGTAGGGCTGGTTTTAACTCAGGAGTGCAGACTCCGTAGCTGGTTCCCTAGTCTCCTTTTCATGTGGCCTCTGCATTGTCAGGTGCTCCTTGGTTCAGCTGTCACACCAGTTTGGGCTGCGCTGCACAAGCCCACTCAAAATAGAAGCGGTAGAGGACCATTTGCCTGCAGTGCCTCACATTAATAACACTGAAGAGTGGCAGTAACTGCTCATCTGAACTGTGCTCATCTGAACTGTGCAATGCAATCATTGCATGGTTAAAAGTTTCTGAGACCATGACACCAGCACCAATGACAGTTTTGCTGTACAAGAGAAGCCACACACACCTTCAAGGGCTACAAACACCATCACATTTGTCCCTGAGTAAATCGTTTTATCCCAGGACAAAATGCAATCATTCAGGTGTCCACTTCTGTTATCCCAGGATAAATCCTAAATGCTTCATGAGATAAATAGTACTAACAGTTTATCCCAGGACACTGTAAACTGTGTTTGAACAGTTATTCCAGGATTGCATCATTGAATCAATGGCAGAAAAGCAGCAGTGCATTCACCCACCCACTAAATACCGATTAGCAGGATGATGTGTGTAGGCACCAATCACGGGATATTTCTGTTCCAGGACAAACACAGGCACAGCTGATCCAAGGACAAATGTAATATCTGTTCCTAGCCAAAAGGGAGGAAATATCATATTGTATCCTCCATCTCCCTTTGTACATCATGGCCTTACAGTCCTTGAGGTACACCTGGGAGGACTTTTTAAGGCTATGAATCTGGTACATGGAGACTATTCCTGTCTTCTTGATGCTGTCTAAACAGAGTGACCTGTGTACCATGCTTGTTTACCTAGCTGCTATTTGTTCATGTTTATATATAAACAGGTAAACTTTATTAGGGCTATATAAATGAATCCATCCACCTGATTATATCCTAACCCAGTGGTGCTCAACCTTTTTTTGGCCAGTAGGATGGATGTGCAGTGCCCAGGCCAATCACGGGCTGGATCCAGCTGGTGGTCCTGATCCAGCATGAAGCAGTTACAGCAGGGCCCCATCCTACCGAGTGGAGGGGGGCAGGGAGCAGCTGGGCTCCAACCTGGCCCTGTAGGAGGGAGGGGGTCATGGCCCAGCCTGGCCCCATCCAGCCTGTGGAAGGGGAATGGCCCAGCCTCATCCAGCCATGGGGGTGCAGGGAGGAATCATGACCTGGCCCCAACTTGCTGCACAGGGCTTGGGGTAGGGGATTTGGCAGCGGGGGGCGGGGGGTGGCCATATTTATTGTCACTGCTCACCTGCTCCAAATTTCCTGATCTGTGGGGAGCTCACAGGTCACAAACCTATGGCTCCCTGGACTGCATTTGGCTTGCAGGGTGGAAGTTGAGCATGCATGTCCTAACCCATATATTCTCTTTACCAGTAGGGCCTGAGGAGCAGTGGCACCTGCAATTCCCATTCAAGTATAGTTTTTTTTCTCTGTAGCACTTCCAGTCT